GAGAGCTTGGACAGGTGAGTGGTTCATGGGGGCACCATACTCAATGATGGATTAGTCCACTGATGGATTTACAACCAAACAATGTTCGAGAGGTGAAGCCTGGTTGGAGAAGGGCCTTTTCTTCTCTGGCACGCTCTTCTGACTTGGAACCAGCAGACTATGGTCTGAAACCTCCTCAGCCCATGAGCCAAAATAAACTATTCCTCCTTTAGAGGTGTTAGGTATTGTGTTTCAGTAACGAGAAAGTAACTAAGACAATGTAATTAAATGAGACTTATCTGATTTACTAATCATGTACAACAGATACCATGCTGCTTTACAGATCAAGAAATGTCTTTAGTAGTTCGCCTAAGGTCCCAGAGGGTACAGAGGGAAATTGTGGTCTTGAATGGATTTTAAGTACCTCTCGCTAGTATATACATTTCATTTGTACTTGAAAGACATTAACCGTATAAATCTCATTGAGCTATTAAAATTGCATTTCAATGTAATGTAATGTAATGGCTTCTTAAAACTATTCATAAATGTTATAGTATAGCTTACACCTCATCAGAAAAGCTCTTCTTCAGCACTTTGAAAATGAGTCCATTTTATTCAACTTAAACATGCTGTCATCTAAGGCTACTTCATAGCAACACCACTAGCAGTTCCCTAAGTTAAATAAGGATAGAAACTAAATGAGAACAAATACTTTTATTATAACTATGTATTTATCATGGTTTTTGCATGCTATTGAAGAAAAAGAAATAATGTAGATTTATTGACACTAGTTTTTGCTACCCTTTTAGAGATAACTGATAACCCATTAGTTATTGTCAATATCTTCTATTTTTATTATAAGGGCCACTGTAACAGCACAAATTTATTAATGCATGCACGTATCCACTCAAAAAACTTTTTTGAGTAATCTTTGTGTATTGTGAAATAGCAATGCATTTTAGATACAAAGACAAATAGAACACTAAATCTGTATTTTGAAGTTCTTTTCTTTAGTATGTGTATCTTAGACATTTTTATATATGTCTGTAGGTGTGTAGTACTGTACATAAGATTTTAAAATACATAATCAAATGATTCATACATATGATGCCTTAGTATTATGCTCCAAACATGCATTTATCCCAGATGATTCAAATTCTCAAGTTTTTCAGGAAGAACTGTCTTAAACAGCACTTTTCTTTCCACACTGGCTAAGACAGTGCTTTGCACTTGATGAGTAGCCAAAAATGATTTCTTGATTGGCCTCTGAGGATCTTTATTCTTTAAAGTATACACTTGGCATTTTCCTTGTGGCAATAATGATTTTTGATGACCAGCTATTATTGATTTGTTCTTTCACCGAGTAGTAATGAAGGTGGGTGTCTTAGGAGGATGTCTTGTATATGGATAGTTGATTTTGCGTTCAGTTGACATCTAAAGAATATCTTGACGCCCCAGGGCCACAGGGATGATCTATCAAAATTATTTCTTAAGGACAGTATGCCAGAACGTGTCTATAGGATGCCACCATTATTACTTAACTAGCTTTTAAATCCAAGCTTTGTGTTTGCACATTCAGAGGAGGAGGCAAGAGCAAAGAAACAAGAAGTTGCTTGGTCACAGAAGGCAATTCATGCAGCCAATTGTCCTGCCTCTCTAGGAAGCCGTGGCTTATAAACAAATTGAGCATATCTAAGCTGATAATGTGGCTGATGCTTCAAAATCAAAACAAAATTCAAAATCTGATAAATCACTCTGCTTAAAAACAAAACCAAAGAAAGCTAAGTGATTCTAAGGGAGAAGATTTTGTTTAGCAGCCAGGGATATACAGCAGGAAGTCCCAGGGAGGCTGACGATAAGAACTTAGCTTGTATAATAGATCCCACTGCTTTAAAGAATGATTATGAAATGATGAGAGAAACCATATTATTTTCTCCTTTTGATCAGGGTTGAAGGTAATGGAATGAAACAAGTTTAATCACTGAAGAGCTTCAGGAAAACTGGGCTATTCTTTTCATAAGTTTAGGAGACACCAGTTTTTGACTTACACTTTTTTTCTGTATCACAGTGGGATCACTCACACCCGAGAAGTCAGCAATGTGTCCTTAAAGTTGATGCATATTGTGGAGCTATAAAACTGGTCCAAGGAGTTCAAAGTCATTTCAAGATTAATTCAAATTTCAATCAACTCTTTTTTTGAAGGACACTTTATGGCCTGCCTCACTTTCTCTAAAGCATGCATGCATGTGCGTGCGTGTGTGTGTGTGTGTGTGTGTGTGTGTGTGTGTGTGTGTGTGCGTGCGCGCGCGCGCATGAGTGCTGTTCTTTGGGCAATAGTCATTCCTGCTGATCCTTCCATACTTTTTGGTTCAGAGTAACCAATTTTTTTTTTTACATCTTAGTGCTCTTTTTGGGCTGCTTTTGTGTTATATTTCTTTACTCAGCTCCTTTTCACATGTCTGCCCCAGGTTCCATTTTTATCACCCTACAATAAGGTCTCTGGGAGAACTCCATGACGACACCCAACTATTTTGCCCAAAATCTTCTCTGAAGCCCTCTTCAACTCTCTCTACCTGTGCTCTTCTTTGCTGGCTCTCAGACTGCTAGAGACCAGGGTATTAGACACCAGCAATGGCATTTTCCCTCCAGACTTCCACCTTTTCCCATGTTCGCTGTTATTTTTATTGAATGCTGCCTCTTCAACTATCACCAGCACAAACTGCTGATGAGATGAAGTTCAGCTCTGTACTTCCTGAGGTCAGAGAGGGCTTCTTCCATTAGAACTTCAGCAGTGTCTGCAGGAGTAGGGAAGCAAGTCTTAGCTTTATAGAAATTTGAGACTTTTAAAAAGATGGCCATTTCAATAGGGAGACTTGATTAGGATCAGGTAAAGATTAGCATATAATAGACCAGGAGTAATGAAAACTGCAAGGATTTTGGAAGGAAGAAATTCAAAGACTCTAAGGATATAAATTATTGATGCTTTCCATTTAAGAGTTAATGGGTATTTCCAGAAATTTCTCTCCTCACCAATCAAACTATTTGCCTGAAGTCAAGTTTATGCATGGTAAAGTCTTATTAATGAGGACAGTGCTAATGACAGCAGATATGTTTGGAGTGGGGTAGGCAATTTCTGTCCTCTTTGCTCAGTCTGTGTGTGGAGACATAGAATCTAGATATATCCATACTTCCTCTAGATAGTTAGGCAGTTTGGGACTATGTGAAGGTACATTTGATTCACATAGTCAGTGTTTAAGCTGTAAGAACAATTGGTCTGTTTTCCCATTTCTCAAAGGAAGCCATCGATGATGAAGATCACTGATTTTAAAAATTTCTTTTAAAAACAACTTAACTGCATCACATTTACCTTGAGCACCTAGTGGAGTGAATTCTGACCCATGTGTAATAATCTCCATGTACAGTACCTTGGTCCCCAGTACATACCTGAGCAGAAAACCCCATGGTGCTATCCATGGTACTGTAGGACATTTCCCATGCTTAGCTAAATACCTGCTTAAGGCAGCTTTCAGAGTTGTCTTTACAGAACAGGCAATATCATCTGCAGAAGAGACAACAGTAGTTCAATAAATATATGTTGAAAGAAGTTAGCCTGAGGATTTTGTGTTTATTGTTAATATGAGGTAATATATTTGTATCAAAAATGTGTAATGACCTGTTTCATTATTATTAGATCATATCTGTGTTTTTAAGTGATAAATTCCTCATATTTTTATATTTAATATCAGTTTGTATAGCTGGCTATAAGGCCTGGAGATATTTAATATTTGTGGAAGAGTAGAGGCTTGAGACAGCCTGAGTTGGGGATTCTCAATAGCTATGAGATCCTGACAAAATATATTAGCTTTCTAAGACACAGTTTACCTTCTGTAATGTGGCAATATAATTCTACCTCACTGTATTTATTCTGTAGAGTTTTATCACAAAGTATCATGACTTGGCTGGTTTGAAATGAAAGTAGTGTATTGTCTCATTGTTTTGAAAGCTACAAGTCCAAAATCAAATTGTTGGCAGAAGGTTTGTCTCTTTCTTGCTTTGGTGAATGGCTACCAATTTTTGCCACTTACAGATTTGTAATTGCATAAATCCAATATGTGACTTTACCATCACAAATCATTCTTCCTTGTGTGTCTATCTTCACAAGTCTGTGTTCTCATGGTGGAACCAATCATGTGGGATTGAAGCTACACCTGCTGCACAGCCCCTCCTTGAACTTCACTAATCACATCTGCAGTGATCCTAGTTCTAAATAAGGTCATGTTCTGAAACAGTAGAAATTAAGGCTAGCATATCTGTTTTGGGGGGCATCAATTGAACTCACAACACTGACTTACAGGATTCTTGTTAAACTAGAACGACAGATCACTGACATCTAATAGAGGCCACATAATTATCTTGCCTTCTTCCTTCCTTCCTTCCTTGCTTCCTTCCTTCCTTCCTTCCTTCCTTCCTTCCTTCCTTCCTTCCTTCCTTCCTGCGAGGCTATCATTACTGTGGCGCTTCATGATTCTTGCCATCTCAGTGCCCTTATACTCATCAGAAAGTGCGCACTGGTTGTGATGGAAACTGGGTCATGACTTAGTCCCTGTTTATCCTCATCATTTTTGGGTGGTTTCCCAGGACACAGGCCGATCAGTGCTACAGGATAATTTATTGCAAGAATCACTTACTCCATGAAGCATTCAGACACTGCTGATTCATTCTCAGTTACATTATTTAGCCTTGCTGCAGTCTCTCCTAAATCCAAAGTATGCTTTTGTGCAAAGAGTCAGCACACATCAGGAAAAGAGTTGGCACTCACCTGACAGTAGAGCCCAGCAGCAGGAGTTGTCTTTAGTTATGGATGTTCATGGAACGATAGTTTGTTTTAATTGTAATACTTTTGGCTGTACTTATCTACTGCCAGATTTCTAATTCCCTTAACATTTAAGATTGCCAAATCAAGCCATCTGTAAACATGAAAAGTTGCAAAACTAGAGTCTTCCACCAAAGAAAGAGTTTTACTCATCTGAGCAGAAGCAAGTCCTGAAAGTACAAAATAATAGTATGGGGCGATTATACCCTCTCTCTCCCCCCACCTTCTGCATTTTTAGGGCTTTCTGAATGTAGGTGTAACTTGATTTGATGACCATCTTTTTCTCTTTTGCTGTCAAGAATGTGTCTTGGCAACTGCTACGGAGAAGCCCCGCACAGCCTTTCGTGAGCTAGAAAGGTTAAAACTGAGTTGACAGGACATCCCCAGCTCTCTGCTGTTGGTGAGTTATTCTGTTTATTCTACATATGTTTCTTTTTAATTAAAATGTCATTTTTAATTAAAAATGAAATGTCAAGAAGGAAAAAAATGGCAAAGTCTGGACTATTGCAATGACTGCAAACAGAAAGAAGTCAGTACAGAGAAATAACTTTAAAAGAATAAAAACAGTATTTTTTTGTAAAAAAAATTAAATAAAAACCAAACAAGAGGTAATTTGGGGAAAGTTTGAGTGCTCTTTGCTGTTCAAACCAAACATACACACACACACACACACACACCACACCACATACACACACACACACACACACCACACCACATACACACACACACACACCACACACACACACACACACACACACACACACACACCTACTTTATAGCTTGTTTCCATAATTAAAAAGTATATTTGATGTGTGGGCACTTGCTTTGAAAGTTAATCCGTGAGGCTGATGGGCCTCGTATTTTTCATGAGTGACAGAGCCACTAATGAGATACAGCATTGACTGCAGAAGGCACCAATAAATTGTATAAAATATCCCTGTTGGCCATTTATTTAATTTATTTTATAGAAGTGTAATGACTTATAGTTTAAGGTGGAGCTTTTATTTTGTTATAAAGACCCACATCCACAACAGGCTTCCCAAGGATTACGCAACATTTATATCTTGTATTTTGCACTGTTCTGATAATGTTTCACATTATGATTAAATCCTCACAGGGATTTTCCCATAAGCAAAAATGGCTGTACTAGAATATACATTATCTTTTCTAGAAAATGGGATGGACAGTTAGGTTAGAAGGGCTTGTAGAAATCGGTTGCAGAAGAACGACAAATGTGCTTTCGGTACTGAAGAAGGGAAAGACTTAAGGGAAGTAAGTTTCTCTTTGGAAGAGAGTATCTTGATTTGCTCTTTCATCTCTTTCTTTGAAGGCCTTTTTTCACTCTTGGGCAGGCTCATAATCTTCTCCAAGTGCATGCTGATGACTTTGGCCTCATTTTTCTTGTATGATACCATGCTTTCCCTGGCTTAGTTCTTTGCATAAACCCTTCCCATGTGATTTCTGAACACATTCTCCCTCCACATGACCCCCCTGCACCCTCCATTAACTCCCCATACAGCTTGTCCTCCTCATCCTCTGCAGCTTGGTTTATAAAATCACTTTTCAATGTCAATCATGTCTGTCCTGTAACCTAACCACCTTTCACCTCCCCACCAATTGGTGCTACACTTATTGTATTCTTTTATAACTCTCTGGACTTTTCTTTTGTAGCACATATAGTATTTCTAATGCAATGATGAATTAAAAATTTAATTTGCTTACATTTTCTAGGTTATAAGTTTCAAGAGGGGGAAATTGGTACCTGTCTTGTTAATTTCTATGTTCCTTATAACTCATAGTCTTTATAGATAATAATGGTCAGATAAATATTCACTGTTGAATGAAGTTTCACTCTTGGTAAAGCAAGCCTCCGACAATTTGTGATTACTATGCTCTTTGCTGAAAATCAAATTAAAAGCAGTACAGATTCCCATAGCTTATGAAAAGGCTCTACAAACAGTTACATAGACTCATAGCTTAGTTTTTGCTATATCTCAGCCCTAATGCAATCTGTGAAAAATGATAATAGGATGTACAGTTAGATTTTAGTCTACAAAAGACAATGCAATTTTGTGAAAACACATTTCAATAAATATGTGTTGAGGTGCCATTGTACGCCAGCCAATGTGCTTGGCACTTACTGACCCCGTATGTTATGAGGTCTCAGGTTAGTAAAATTTACTGAACAAGTAAGAATGGAAGAACCTTTTTTATCTATGTCGACTGTCTGCTATATTCACTGCAAGTAAATGTTATCTAGAGGAAAACGCAAGTGAGGTGGCTGTCCAGTTGTTAACAGTGTATGCACCTACATGTACCTGTATCTACTTACAAAGCAGCACCCTGGAAAGGCCACTCCTTGTTCACCTGATTACTTGATTAACTAGTATGCAATTACTACTTTATGGGAAAGTAAACAAAATGGTTGCAGTCATTTTAAGATGTGTATTAATTTCCCTGCCTAGTACTGTTTTGCAAGTATAAGTAATAAAAGTAAAGATACCTTGTATCCATTTTCCTGGATATGTTTTGACAGTTATCTTTGAAAAATTATTGAAAAATTTCTCCCTTTTTTCTTTATCACTATGACATTCAAAAAGTTCTGCCTGTGTCCAATTGAAATCTCTCCTCTTTTATTAAACCAGTTTCTGCTTGTTTGTGCCTTTGTGTCCACCAGGAACAACTGATCAGAATCCTTCATATAAAACCCTTTATGTTCTTGGAGACAGTAATTTCCTGTGAAATATTTAGTTGAAAATTCCATAAACTTTCAGAGAAAAAAGGGCTGTGGTCAGTTTATACTTCATAAAAGTAATATTTGAAAACTTCAAACCTGAAGATAGTGACACTTTTCTGTGTGACAAATTAGCTTTGCTCCCTTTTTAATAGCATTCAAGTTTCATTATACATTTAAATTATTCATTTCCTGTCAAGTGTGGTTAATTTTTTGAAAATATGTGCATATAATGATTCTTTTTTGTTTTTCTTAATTTATTGGTAAATCTTTTTGTATTTTATATTTTATATTTATAACTATGACAATATAAATTATCACTCATTTCAAATTAATTTGACAATTTTATTTTAAAATCCTGATATCTGATTATGAATTACCAATAGGAAAACGTGTGAAGTACTGAAAATAAACACTCTCTTTTAGGGTTAATTGACTTCATTGCCTGAATAACTTTTTAAAAGAAGATTTGCTTAGCATTAGTTTCATAAGTCCATATGGTAGTTGTCCATATTAACTTAAGAAATTCAACCATTTGTGCAACATTAAAAGCAAATTGTCACTTATGCTGAACTTTTGTATGGGAATCAGCATGGGCAAAACTTTTCTGGGGCTGGCCACACATAGTATTTACTGTCTCATAATTTGCTTATTCTTTATGTCAAAAGACCTCTCTGCCTTGACAGTTCTGTGATTGAAGGGGTCTGTGTAACAGATTAGCAGAGTTCTGCCCAAGTGTTTTCCTTGGTTTTGGTGAAAGGCTGCCCTCTTGTGCAGAGATGGGAAGCAACTGTTAAAAAAAATTCATTTACTTGATTCAATTTCTGTTGGATTGTAAAATGGAAGTTAATACTATGCTTGGAACCCACAAGTTATCATTCGAAGATACTGAGAATATGTTCTTAGTCTTTCTTTGGATGCTTTGTGCTTTGGCCAGTGTTATGATTCTTATCATCCCTTTATACAATTCAGGGCAAAGACAAACTCTCGCTTTTAAACAAGGAAGCAACTTCCCCATTTGAAGAGCTATAGTGCTTTGTTTTCAAAAAAATGAGCAATCTTTTTATTTCTAATTACATTATATTCTGATTAATGCACGAATGAGATCATATCACTAAATGGAAAAGAAGTTAGAATCACTGCCAGGGATCTGTTAAAGGTTAGGTCTTGCTTTTGTCATCAGTAGCAAGAAGAAAGTTGGCAAATTCTTCATAAAATTAGCACAGGAAAGAAAAAGGGAGATTACACACACATTCCAACTTCTTTTTTTTTGTCTTATTTTACCAAGTTTCCAGTTCAACTGAAGAGAGAGTACTTCCAAAATGAATATTTGATAAATAGATAAGCTAGATAATTCTACCTTACTTTAATAAGTTTTATTTATGCAAATGATGTCTTATGTTCTTTACATTTAGCAATTTTAAGAATTTAACAGGGCTGGGGATTTAGCTCAGTGGCATAAGCACCTGCCTTGCGAGCAGCAATCGTGAGTTCCATCCCCGGTACCGATAAAAAGGAAAAAGACCAAAAAAAAAAAAAAAAAAAAAAAAAAAAAAAAAACTTAACAAAAGTTATTTTCTTTTAGAACAAAATTACCTGAGTATTTTTGTTAATTGTTTAAGCCTGGCTGAAAACCTTGAGCTTAGCTAAGTTAATTACAGTACTTTGCCTCTACCACGTGACTCACAGAATGTGGCATTGAAGCTTTGGTGTAGGTTACAGCTTAGAACTCCAGAAGCTCTCCAGTCCTGAGAGAATGTTTGAGCCTCACATTTTTTAGAAAACAAGCATAGTCTGACAGCAAATAGTATTTCAAACAAAATTACAAGTGTCCTCACAAAAAAGTTTGGCCATAAGTGTTCGTAGTAATAACCATGAAAGCCAAAGAGTGGGGGGAAAAAACCCCAAATGTCCACCAAGAGCCAAGATGTGGTTTATCAATGCAATGGACAGTATTCAGCTATGAGTGGGAATGAAGTACCCAAGAACAGGAGACAAATGAACAGTGAAAACCTTATGCTAAGTGAGAGAAGCCAGACGTGAAAGAATATATACCATATGAAAATTTTTTTTGCCAGAATAGATAAGAGAAAAAGAGACAAAAAGTATTCTAGTGGTTTCTTTGGTTCAGGGATGATGAAGGAATATAGAGAAGGAAAGAAAAAAGGAAGTGATTGTTAATTGGGATGTTTTGGGAGCATTAGTTTCGTAAGTTCATATGCCCTCAACCTGATTGTGGTGGACACTGTTCACCTTTGTCAAAATACTAAAAAAAAATTTTGCAGATAAGTGAATTTTATGGTATTGGAACTGCATTTCACCAAAACCATTTCTTAAGAGTAAAAAAAAAAAAAAATGATAGGAAGCAAACATCTGAATAACGACATCACGTTGATTCTGTAGTCTCTTATTTCTGTGGCAGCTAAAAGGGTGTTTGTGACATTTAAAAGAAGGTAACTGCATATTTGCCCTCTTACGACCTCTCCAAGTTTTAAAGATTTTATGTCTGTGATTCAAATGTGCTTTCTTGTTTTATGAGTTTAATTATTATGGATAATCTTTTATCAGGACATAAAGCCCTGACGGTGGTGCTGGGGTGGGGGTCGAGGGAATGAAATGTGAATCTTTTAAGTGTTGTTAAAATGTTTACATGAAGAAAACACAGCCAAGGGTGGCCCTTTTCCTTACTGGGTGTGTGCACAAGCTTTGAGGACAGCGTTAAGATCCACATACTGCTTCCTGGCTGCTACACCAAGTCTGCTATCAGTGGGGATAGTGGTGCCTTCTTCAAACAGCTCTTCTTCCATGTGTTACATGAGATAATGTATGTTATGCGTGGTGCAAAGTTGCTGTACCAAGGAGGATGCACAAAAACAATAGAAATGAATAATAATAGCTCTGAAGGAAATATTTCTATTTATTTAAAAATCGGATCAAATGTAATAGCACATTCCATAATCCCAGCACTCAGGGGGATCAAAATGAATTTGCCTGAGTTCAGTGCCAGCCTGAGCTACATAGCAAGACCCTGTCTTGATAAAACCAAAAATTAAAAAAAAAAAACTAAGAATAATTGTTATTTAACTAGAGTGCATGTGTAGAAAACAGTGAACAGTTTCAAATCCTTTTAATGTTAATTAGGAAATTTTGCATTGGTCATTAAAAATATGAATATTTATCGAGTTCCATATTAGATGGATTTTTTCCATCAAAGGAAAGGCTAGATACAAATGTGTAGGTGAGTAGCGTAGTTTTTGGGGAAATGACAAAATTGTTCTCTTGAGGTATTATTTTCAAAATAATGGATTTTACTTGTCGTAGGAAATTTTTTTCTGCCTTTCCATCACAATTGCAATCAGCACACTACCTGCTTTCTGCAGCAACAGAAACAGCTGGATCACCCATTTTGATGAGGGATTACTCTTCAGTATTTATAGTAACACCCATTTCACCAAGTGGAGCCCAAAAGAAGGAAAAAACAAACAACTGACTTTTCTTGTAACAGGTAACTGTTTTCTTTTGTATTAAATTTCCTTTCCTATTGCTTTCACTAGCTTCAGATTTGGAAGCTCATTTCACCGCGCAGGAGACACTAAAAAGCAGCCAAACCAATGCAGCCAATAGAAATTTAATTTTAAACATCTAAAGCTTTGCTTAAAAAATCCTATAGAAGCATTAAGCTAAATATTAGAGCTAAAAAGCATATAAACACGCAGAAGACCTTTGCAATATGAACAGGGACTATGTTTGAAGTCAGGCATGCATAAATATGTGTGTCTTTTCTCAGCGATTTTAATGAAATGGTTAATTCTGTTGTCATGGCAACAAAGCACAGCTGTGATAAAAAGCTAAAGGTCTACAACATAATGCCCAATACAAGGTCTCTAATTCTAAAGCTGATTTTCTTAGCTACAATAGAAGTGATGTGTTTTCAATATCATCCTAAGCTTTCACATCAAATCCTTCTACTTAATCCAATAAATAGGCCAGTAGCATTAAAAGGAATATATGTTTGCACATTATAAACCTTATAAAAGAAGTTTACCTATGTCCAATCTCAAGAGGGAATCTGGAAAGTAAACATATGCTCCCTCAAAATAATAACCTATTTTGCCTGAAACCTTAAAAAATGGAAAATATTCAAATGGAATATCAGGGTAATTATCAAGTACATTATTATCTGACCTGTCAGCAGGGATGTATTATATTTGAGATAATAACATCACCACTACCACCAACGCAACAGCAAGAGTAATTCAATTTTAAAAACTCACTAGAACATAATAATGTAAGAGGCAAATTTTGTTCTGTAGGTCTGTTTATATTATTTGCTGAAGATATCACACTGGTAAATTCACCCAGGGTTGACGATGCATTCCGAACTTAAGACACACAGTCCCTCAGCTTCAGTCACAAGTCTTTTGTCTTCTGCCTCTCATCCTGCGCAGGTGATCTAGATTCTAGACTCCTTCAGCACCACCTGATGTAAGTCTCTGTCAGACCCGGATCCTCTGCTCCATTCTGGGTTCTCAGGTATCAGTCTCCCATAGATTATGCCAATTGAACAGGTCTCTGCTCCTGTCTCAACTCAGATGTCAAAGCGATTTTTCTAAAACTTGGATGAAATTATATCTTTCAGATTTTCTCCCTGCACTGCCTGAGTGCTTAGCTTTGCTTAGAAAGGACCTCATGATCTAATGCTTAGTAATTCAACCTTATCTTTTCTGATAGCCCACATCTTACTCTCTAATCAAAAAGATCTCTTAAAGTCTCTGAATATATTAAATATGCAATATGTTCTCAAAGTCTGTGTCATTTGGCAGCTATTTAGTTTTTTACTTTAAATGTTTCATTTTGCTGCTCCACGTAATCCTCTCCAAATTGTAGTTTAAAGTACAACCCATATTTTCAAAGTGAGCAACATAGTATTTAATGTGTAATAGTAAAAAAATGCACAAATTTGAACTACTTCATGATTAGATAAACAAGTTAATTATATGACAACAGACATAATAGGAAGACATTACAAACTATGTCAGAGATATGCATACATTGATTCAGAAACATTTTTTCCTATCTTTTTAGGCTACTGTTAGGTTAAAAATTAGTATATTCAGTGTGGTATGACTTGTAAAAATTAACATTATGTAGGCAGTAAGTCACTTAATGTAAACTGTGTACTCTTTTAGGTTTAAGTTTGAAGGTGTGGAACATTTTTTCATGCATTTATTAACTACTTGCTCTTCTGAGAAGTTATTGTCTATTTTTTATTGGGTTTTATTTTAGGAGCTTAATTTTCTTTTTAGGTTTTTGTATATTCTAGGTAAATTCCTATATTGTCCCCTATGTGAAGATTAGCTAGCAAAATTGTTCCCCATTCTGTAGGTTGTCCCTTTACCTTTGGTTGTTTCCTTTGCTGTGCAGAAATTTTTAGAGTTAGAAAGGCAGAGAGGGGAATGGGATGGAAAAGGAATGGGACGTGTGTGTACATGTCCTCACCCCACACAAGGAATGGGAACGTTAGGTACTGCAAACATGAATTAATAACAAATAGAAATTTAGAAAACCCAAAAATATCAATCATATCTGCTGGTAAATATTCAACTCTTTTGCTCATTGTTTAATTTGCCTTTTAGTTGTAAGATTTAAAAATATTTTCTGTAGAAACACTTTGAGGGCTGGGGACCTCACTCAGTGGTTTAAGCGCTTGCCTGTTAAGTACAAGGTTATGAGTTTGATCCTCAGTACAAAAAAATCAGTTTCATGTGGGTATGATATAGTGTCACAAAGTTTTTTCTCAATCACTTCATTTTCATTTTCTTAGTAGTTTGTTTTAAAAGACATTTTCTGTGGTTATACTTTTGTAAAAATAAAACATGTACATATACTGATCAAACACAGAGGAAAAACCTGGAATATACTGCAGTGTGTGTTTCTGGATAATCAAAATGATTATTTGTTGATGGTAAATTTAAAGTTTTTTTATTTCTTTCTCTAACTTTCTTGGACATATAGTACTTTTATAAGTTAAAATATTATGTATATGAACACCATACAATTACAACAAATTTTTAGATAAATTCCTATATTGTCTGCATCTTGTAGAGTGCCTAGTGAGTACTAGCTACCTGAAAGATACATGCCAATGAACAAAATAGAGGTGATAATTGGGTTTTGTACTTAGCATCATTTAGATATATTATCCATGTATTTCACTTTTTGTTTTTTACTTAATAGGTTCCAAGGTAAACTATTCAAGCACATTTTTAAGATTTTGCAGAAGACTGAGAAGCAGCTATAGCATGCATTTTGCCTAGAATAGCCAAGCCAAAGAAGGCTCTTTTTATCCTCCAGGTCTGTGAAGACATGATGAATCCGAAAAGGAAAGTTAGAGTACAGCAAGTAAAATCTTTTTTCTTCATTGTTTTCCAGGACAAGTTCATGTATGAAAAAATACAGGGGCCCGGTTCAGATACCTGACATCATCGTTTCCTCCTTATTAGAAGGGATAAGATCGCTCCAAAGCTATTTAAAAGTATCTTAATTATTAAAAAGATGATCATTCTTTACACAGATGTTACCTATGTATTCCTTGGTCATTTGAACCAGGACAACATTATCATTATCCACATAATCAAATTGGATGATTTCATCCTCCGGTTCTAATCTGTATGATATTATTAACCAATTTCCTGCGAAACATGAGCTACCGGAGACTTGACGCCTCATTGTTGGTTACTATGTTGTGTTACTATGTTTGGTTACTGTGGCTGATATCAGTTTTGGTTACTGTGCTCAAGTCTATTTTTCTAATAAGGGCAACTATGTAGAAAGAGTGATTGCAAGATGTCTGGAGAACATTTGGGTAACAAATTGTTTTTTCAGCAGATGAGGTATTGTTATCTAGTCATTCCTGTGTAAATAAAAAAGGTAACCAGGAAACTGTGGGATACTTTTCAGAATAAATTGACTACCTTTCTAGTAGTGGAATTCCATTTTCCTTTTTGAGCGATTATTTGAAGGCCACGTTTTTTGAGTGTCAAGCATTAAAAGCATGTTTATTTTAATTTTACAGTAGTATTCCACAAGAACTTCTGCAAACATTAGTTTCACTCTGAATTTCACTTCTATTTTGAAAGTAAATCACTTCCTATGAGTGGCTCCAGTTGGCCTTTGTACTTGACACATTTGATAATGGCTTTGGAAGAAAAAAAATTTGAGTGTAAAAATAAAAAATAACTCATTATAATCGTTAAGTTTTGCTGAGAGGAGTATGTTTCTAGGGGACAAAAGGAAGTTGTCTGAGTACCGGTAAGTTCTGAAGGCCTTATTAGCTTGGGTTAAAGGTAAGTTGTCTCTTTATCTGGCCCTGTTGGTAGATATGGCTGGCTGGCTCAGAATCACTGACTTACTGGACCAGTGATTGACAAGTTCCTCAGAGAAGCAAGATTTAATTTTTAGGCTTTCGCATGTTTTTTTGTCGGTGATAACAATGATTACAGCAAGTCTGTGAAGACGTTTTTGAACTTTATACAAGAAAACTCTAACGTAAGCAGCAGTATTTTTCACAAAGCTAGAAAGTCTTTGAAGAAGTCAATCACCCACTTGGGAGAAAGAGAGTTCTTTTCGGTTCTTATTTCCTCTAAAACCTTAATGGTCGTGGAAGAGTGTCCTGAGAACAATGAAGGAGTGAGCTAGGATTCCATCCACAAAAATTGAAATCCAACAAACTGAGGCCCAAAGTTTAATTCCATTTAACATTCCCATCTCAGCAATAAAATCAGGAGTGTTTTAGTTCTCTAAAGTTGTAAATTAACCTATCAGTGCTTCAATATTCTTGTCTGTCAGATGGAAATCATCCTAATATCTATGTCCCTGATTTATTTTAAAGTTAAATGGAATCAGTAAATAAAATCATAGGACAATCAATAACACATAAAGGCTCAACAAGTATTAGCCATCTCATTACTGCTAGTGTATTACTGGTATTAATCTTCACTTTTAATATTATTATTATCCTATGATATCTGTAAATTTTAGCTGTGAAATTTGTAAAGAGGAAAATATTCCCTTTGGGAGTCATCAGAAAGTATCATTGTTCTAGGAACAACTACCGTCAAGCGTTAGAGAATGTTGCATTCTACTTAATAAACAGCAGAAAACTTCAAGTCTGCTTTCAGAAAGAAAGCAGGCTGCGGGAGTCTGCGCCCAACCCCAGGTCCTGGGACACGGCAGTGCTTCCCACTGCCCTGAGGTAACAGCCAAGATGAGCCCGGAGTTGATAGTAATCAATTCGCAGTTTTATTTGCCAGCACATGTCTATAATCTCTTTTCTATAATTCTGAAATATGAAAAGCTCCAAGATGCAGCAGATTTTACTGAGGGCAGAGGATAACATCATTTGTAAAGAAAACCAATCTGATCAGCCTCATTCGGGACCAAATTCTACTCTGGTGCTCTGTGAGACTCTTGTACAGTGTTCCTTGTCTTTAGAGTGAATATTATTAATGGCTTTGTATATGAGGTGCTGCCTAGAATCTACGGAGAGTACACATAATATAAAGCATATACATGTTTTTGTAAAATACGAAAAAAAAACTTAAATAAGAAAATGTTTCTTCAAGCTATGTGGATATGGGGTTAGGAACTATTCTTCTTCATAGTCCCTTTGGTCCAGGGAAGTAAGCTGAGCCAGTATCAGCCTTCTTTTCTTCCCAGCCTCCACCTGTGAACATGAGCTCCTCGGGGTGCCGCCCTCACCTCCATGTTTGTGCATGTGCTGGAGGCCTTCAAAATGAAGGCTGATAACCATGACCGACTGTGTTGGTGCCTTTCCTTGCAGAAAGCATCTTCTCCTACATTTTTGAGCCCCAAAAATCAAAATGTGGAGATTTTTGGCAATCAGAATTTGATCTGAATAATGATTTCTCCAGCAAAATTAGAATCTGACCTCCTGGGCATAACATTTCTGGCTCCAGTTGGCCTTTGTATTTGTAGATTTGGATCCCTCCCTACTTTGGGCTTTCAGTTGTGTTTTTAGCTTGAGTGCTCCAGTGAGTGATCACCACATTGCTGTCCATCAGCAATGTAGGCAGTGCTTGGGACAATCACTCTGGGGTAACTCTGTCCTATTGCTTTCTGCTCATCTTGGAAATAAAATACCTCTGACGGGCTAAAAGGTCAGTATTTATGAACTGGGTATTTAATGTCATGTTAAAGAGATACAGTGCTCCCAGGCTTATGCAAGATATGGGTGATATTAATGAAACATTCCTGAAGAATATGTAACTGAAAGGAAATTTGTTTTCCAATGAAATTCTAGAAATAGTTTCAGAGACAGAAATTAGTAACACATCGTGCACGGAAGGGAACCGTAGATGGGAGTGATGATGTGCTAGGATGAGATTCTGGTCTCCTGGAAATGCTATCAAACATTCCACTCATGTTAAAAATTCCTCAATGTATTCCTGGTGGTTTATTTTCATTTCATGAAAAACTATACTAAGCCCAAGAGCTCAGGCTCCTTAATTTTTCTAGTTCTTAATGCATATTCTGTTTGTAAAATTGTGTTTATAAATGAAGCAATACAAATTTGCCTCTAGACATGGGCTAAGGAGAGCTACAGAACTCAGGCCCTGGAGAAGTTCTCATGGGCAGGAGCAGCCCTCCTGAGGGCCCTGCCTTTGCTCACACAGCAGCTAGGTGGTTAAGTAAAGCTGACTATAGGTGCGTGCTCTTTGTGTCAGAGGAGAAATGCACATTTCTCCAGCATTTTTTTTTAATCCTGAAGCGAAGCATCTATTTAGTACTTTTTATTCTTTTCTAAGGTTAAGGGTCATCAGATTGACAATGATTAATCAAATAAAAATATTTACTAGCTATTTTGCCTGGATAATGTCAGGCTCTAGGGTCTTAAAAAAAGAAAAAGAAGAAGAAGGAGAAGGAGGAGGAGGAGGAGGAGGAGGAGGAGGAGGAGGAGGAGGAGGAGGAGAAGAAAGAAGAAGAAGAAGAAGAAGAAGAAGAAGAAGAAGAAGAAGAAGAAGAAGAAGAAGAAGAAGAAGAAGAAGAAGAAGAAGAAGAAGAAGAAGAAGAAGAAGAAGAAGAAGAAGAAGAAGAAGAAGAAGAAGAAGAAGAAGAAGAAGAAGAAGGAGAAGAAGGAGAAGAAGGAGAAGAAGGAGAAGAAGGAGAAGAAGGAGAAGAAGAAGGAGAAGAAGGAGAAGAAGGAGAAGAAGGAGAAGAAGGAGAAGAAGGAGAAGAAGGAGAAGAAGGAGAAGAAGGAGAAGAAGGAGAAGAAGGAGAAGAAGGAGAAGAAGAAGAAGAAGAAGAAGAAGAAGAAGAAGAAGAAGAAGAAGAAGAAGAAGAAGAAGAAGAAGAAGAAGAAGAAGGAGAAGAAGGAGAAGAAGGAGAAGAAGGAGAAGAAGGAGAAGAAGGAGAAGAAGGAGAAGAAGGAGAAGAAGGAGAAGAAGGAGAAGAAGAAGAAGAAGAAGAAGAAGAAGAAGAAGAAGAAGAAGAAGAAGAAGAAGAAGAAGGAGAAAGAAGAAGAAGAAGAAGAAGAAGAAGAAGAAGAAGAAGAAGAAGGAGAAGAAGGAGAAGAAGGAGAAGAAGGAGAAGAAGAAGAAGGAGAAGAAGGAGAAGAAGGAGAAGAAGGAGAAGAAGGAGAAGAAGAAGAAGAAGAAGAAGAAGAAGAAGAAGAAGAAGAAGAAGAAGAAGAAAGAAGAAGAAGAAGAAGAAGAAGAAGAAGAAGAAGAAGAAGGAGAAGAAGGAGAAGAAGGAGAAGAAGGAGAAGAAGGAGAAGAAGGAGAAGAAGGAGAAGAAGGAGAAGAAGGAGAAGAAGGAGAAGAAGAAGAAGAAGAAGAAGAAGAAGAAGAAGAAGAAGAAGAAGAGAAGAAGAAGAAGAAGAAGAAGAAGAAGAAGAAGAAGAAGGAGAAATGTTCCTGCCCTGGTTATACAGGAACAAAACATTTCTGCAGCTAAACCAGGGCAGGTAAGCATGGCTGAGTGACAGTAGAGAGCATTTGGGGCTGGTTTGGTTAAAGGCAAAGTAGAGAAACGTGAGCTGACTTGGAGAAAGGTTCTGAAAACTTGTGAACAGAGACGATACTCTCACATCTTCAGGGATAAGCAGGGCACAGAAAGGGTGACTAAGACCTCTGTGTGGGGTGGGAGGGTCTGCTGACCTGGAGCGCTGTCTCTCTTAATTTTAGCACAACTGTCTGCAAACCATTCCTCTTATGTGCCATAAAATCAGTATTTTAGGTTTTTCCCAGCCTTTCACCCCTGTCGCAATTTGACTACACACCTGTTACCCACTAAGGTATCTCAGGACATGACGGCTCCTGGATGGGTGGGACTATTTCTGTAAAATTTGATTTACAAAACCTGGAGGCTCCAGGGAAGACTCCATAGTTTTCTAATCCCTGCTCTATAGCTGATGGTTATTGGATTTGAGTTTTCAAACAGGTTTAGAAATCAAAATTGGATGTGAAATACTTGATTTGTAAAATGTTGACTCAAACAATTTTTTGTGCCATCTGACACCACTGCAACTACTTTGCACACTTGGTAAAAGGTGATGTGATCTTTAAAAATCAATAAAATCTGGTAACTGAAGAGGAGTATAGAGGATTTTTAAGAAGGAAAAGTAGCCTGAGCAGGTGATGAGAGGAGTGGGAAAGGGGGATTATTTAGAAAATGGGCACCGGAGGCGGGCTGGGTGGAATCTCATCCTGGCTCTGTCATCTATTATCTATGAGACTTTGGACCTATGACATAGTCCACTTCCCAGGACTGGGCTGCCTCATTTCGTCATCAAGAGGATTAAGTCAGTTATATTCATAATAAGACAATTCCTAGCAGAGAGAAGTCATCAAGACATGTTAGGAAGACATACAGAAACACGGAAGAAGCTCAGCCAGGCGTGGTGCCACACACCTGTGATCCTAGCGCCCTGGGAGACGGAGTAAGGAGGATCTGATGTGCAA